ACACCCCGAGGAACAGCTGACCATTAGTCAGATGAAAAATCAGTAACATGCCATTTGTTCATCACCAGTATCCCTGAAAGCATCAAGGTTTTTTGCAAGGATTTGTAAGCAGGCTCAGCTACCGAAGAAATGAGAGACTGGCTGAAAAAAAACACATCTCCTCGAAACAACTCGGCAAATTGTCGTAATCTATCCTTTCTTGAGCCTAATAATTTCGTTATTAGTGTGTGGTTGCAAGAAAATTGTTGTCAATACCTAGACGTACCATACTACTCGCAAGGTCGCTGAAAAATTTTCCACCACCCTTAGCTGCTTCCGCCTTTCTTGGGGCTCATGGAATGGACATAGCTCCCGATTTTACGCTGCACTGCCACCAAGTTCGCATGGTTCCAACCAATCTACATATTCTGTCCTGTGCGTTCTGGCACAAGAATTCAAAATTGCAACGTTTTCTTTCCAAACTCCTAATTCAGCTAACAATCCAAGCCAACTATCGCAACAATCCATTCCACAATTTTCGCCACTGTTTTTGTGTCGCTCAAATGATGTACGGAATGCTCCACTTATGCGGTCTGAACGAGAAGTTTACAAAAGAAGAATTAGGCATTCTGCTGACTGCCTGCGTATGTCACGATTTGGACCATCCGGGATACAATAATTCGTGAGTGTAGTGTGTGCACGGCTGACCCCTTTTTTGTAATGGCCACCAGATTCTTGTCATGGATGCTTATTTGCTTAGACGTAGCTGTAGTCAGACCAACCTTACCCAAAAGGGAAAGTACGAAAGCGTATTTCAATGTGAACAACGTTCAATTTTATACATGAGTACCGGACAGGGCCAAACTCTACAAGATCCATCTAGTGTGACCAGCCGAAATTCAAGCTGGTAGACCTCGGAGTCACTGATGTCACTTGATCTCCCACGGCGATCACCTCATCATCGATTACTTCGCTCTGCTGCACCACAAATTGGGACTCAAGTTATGATAACAAAAGTTGTATGACCGTCGATATTGGAACAGTAGCTCATCTTGTGTATAAGTACCGTGTTTTACGTTATCCATAAATACGTTGATGATCCAAACCGATAGGTCTCCGGGGAGCAAACAGGCAGGATAATGGAACCAGGAGAACAGGGGATTATTACAGGGCCATCTAGTTCATGTCACTGGTCTATTCTGCTATATCAAAAGGCATTCACTCGAAGAATTTTCAAAGAATTGCTTATTTTGAAGGCTCATTTTGTGAAGCGAACCCCTCAAAATGGAAGACTTCAGTAAGAACCGGATGGTCTGTCTTCGGAGCTATGACGATTGGCGTAGCCCTGTTGGATAAACCGTGCTTTGAATAAGCCTGTAGGATGTTGGCAATATACCTCCATGGATCTTCTTTTTCTGCATCGAAAATGCCATCTTTCGTGTCCAATTTTTTCGAGCCTACTTGCCGTTGGACTTGTATAGTAACATGTATCTACACGAGTTCTTGATCGCTTTTGCCGACCCAGGTTCAACCAAACAAAACTTGCAAGCGAGTAACCTTGGTGGTTGGAATTGTAAAAGTGTGAAACCTCTGAAAAATAGGCTGTTCCTTGTTCTTTGTTTTACTAAATCACCTTCCTTTTCTCTACCAGTTATCAAATCAATGCAAGAACGCCCTTGGCCATTCGATACAGTGATATTTCGCCGCTGGAAAACCACCATTGTGCTGTTGCGTTCAGCATTCTGAACAGGCCGGAAACCAACATTTTTGCCAACGTGTCACAAGAGGTGTTCCAACGTGTTCGTCAGGTAAACACGATACTGCAAATGTGGACAGATTGAGGGGCAAAACCCGATTTGTTTTCAATACGCTCTGCAAGGCAGGCAAATTAGACGAACTGGAAATCTGTGGAATTGGTTTTCTCGCTCGTAATCTTCTTCATTTGACTATTAATCGATTTTATCGATTTCATCCAATTTAAAATCATTTCTGTCCCCAATAATGTAAAATGCATGTTTAAAGACATCCACGTCTCATTGTAAGTTTGAGGCGTTGATAAAGCTAAGACCGGAGACCATCCCATAATGAAAATGAGCGCCTTGTATACCTTATCTCTAAACTGCACCGTGGTTCCGCGATGCCTTCGATTTGTTGCTTGAATGCCGATGACCATGGCATCTGGATCTGTTGGAGTTTAGACCAATGACAACCCAGCACGCGAGTGGGATCTCCGGTTTGTTCGTTGTCGAATCCAATCCATTTCAGTAGTATACCGAAAATTGGAAAACTGGAGCCCCGAAACCGTACCGACATCAATACAGAAAGCAGGAAGCTACAACTTCCTCCCCCCATTGTCAGTTTATTTCCCCTAGGCTAACCTTGTTCTTCATCCCAGCAGTTTTAACCGGGGAGATGACAATAGATGAGAACACGATTGAGACAGAAAACGGGGGAACGAATGTCTGGAAAGAAAACGTAGTTAAAATGAAAATGTTCCTGCACCTCGGGTGAAACGGCAGTCTTCGGAAAGCCTCTCACCATGATGTAGCATGTTCCCACCTACCCATACTATTTTTAAGGCCCCGATTTTGCGTTTCGATATGTTCGGGATCATGACAATCCTTGGATGTACGCGAGTGAGAGCAAGTTACACCGACAATACGATCGATACCATGTTCGATACGTAATGAGACAGTAACTCTGTCACGAAGAGACTGGACCTTAAGGTAGGTTTGCGCACCTCAGCGATCCACTGAGCTATACTGGGGAGTGTCCCCATGATACTTGCTCACAGAGTCTCTCATTCCAGGTTGGTCAATAGGTAGAGGTCTGACCAACACAGTCTCCTGGCCCTCCAGGTTAGGGGTTGGAACATGTGGCGACGTGTTCCGTAGAAATGGTAATGCATTTGCATTTCCCGCCAAACACCGCTGCCTTGTGGTTAGACTTTTGAGCCACTTTGGTTGAGTACCCTAATCGTCCTCCTGTCTAGGTGTGGGTGCCCTGGCGGTACCAATGAGCTGTCAAGCCGTTTTGCAGCATTCCAGAGGATTTTTTTCTAGTGTACAACTGACTGCTTTGTTATTGATTACACTGTCAAATATTTTAATCAATACGAGCCCACAGTTTCTGTTTTCCAATTGACTTTGGATGCAAAAGCATTTTTCCGTTTATAGCAACTTCTGGTTCACTTGATGAATGCCGTACCCTGAGTGTGAATTAGGAGATTTGATTCGATTTCATCCTCGCGAATGTCCTCCACCCGGTTTGCTAAACTGATATGATGAGATCCTAGTCCGTCAACTACCAATAAATGATCAACACGGTTGTTCCACTTTCGATTTGAATGTCCACTTGTCAGAAGAGCATACCAGCAGAGACGCAAACGCCAAATGACGTTAGCCAACCCACGATATAGTCCGATGGAAAACAATCAAACTATGCCCTTTCAGCCACAGGAGCTGAAACAAAGAAAGCAAAAACATAACTGAGGCGAAATCCAAGGTTAGATGTACTTTCTCTATAACGGTTCTCACCATTTTGCTAGGGGGAGACAGACGACAAAGAGAGACAAGACACATTTAATTATATCTCCATTCATAGGTCATATATAGATGGTGTTAGCTTGGGAGACCGGGCCACTCGTCCCAGTTTCGAAGGAAAACTTTCGATCTTCTCGTGAACGTAGATCAAGAGAGATATTACATAGCATAAGGATCGGAACGAAAGCTTCTGTCGAGATACCGGGCCGTCCCAGTTTCGAAGGAAAACTTTCGATCTTCTCGTGAACGTAGATCAAGAGAGATATTACATAGCATAAGGATCGGAACGAAAGCTTCTGTCGAATTTCGGGACAATATCCCATAGAGGGACGTTGGACAGAGACTAACAGCAAGAGTTCTTGTAGACCGGTGATGTACATTTACTTGCCTCCGGTACCCTCATACACGCAAGTGCACTCAAGTATGATTCGTGAGTGTGGAAAAAGTGAGAAATCCTGCAACAATGTGTCTGCTAGCTGGACTGTTGTAGACTGAATGACTTACGCCAGTTACGAATCAACTCAAAGAAGGGAAACCGAAAGATGGACACGAGGTTGCTAGAGCACTAAATTAACCAGTCACGTGACCAGTAGCGTCATCAGACGCAGCAACTTGGGTATTCACACTGGTGCTTCACTGCCATAAAACCAAAAACTCTTCTTAGGGCTCATCAATCTCGTGAGAACCAAACTGGCTTGAAAATGAGTGTATTTCTCGAAGACATGGTGTTAGCTTACCAAAGCCATTCAGAAGTTTATACATCTCATCGTCAAGTAGTCTAGAAAGAAGCTGACAGGACGAAAGCCACCGACATCGATTAGTCGCTGTTCTATGAATGTAAGGTAACAGAGATTCATCCTGGAAGGTGGATCGCACCAACATCACTCTTTGTGATCTGTTCTACACCCTTCTGCCAAATCATGCACTTCGCAGTTTACACGATTATGAAGGACACACGGCGAGTATCAATCGTTCCAATAGACAAGATATCGACATGCCTAGCCCACGGCCGTGACAACGTAGCTGGTGTTGCTTGCTATGTGCCCGGCATTGAAGTACGGCTTCACAAACAAACACTAGTAGGATCATCTTCCGGAGATTCTGTGCAGATGAACCCACACAGAGGTGGAAACGGCCGGACTGCTCCACCTATCCCCGCGTGTCCTCAATGATCTGTGACCATCGTGGCTCACTAACTACAAGATCCAACCTTCTGACGAGACGACGTACTCGAACAGTTGTAGCCTGATACGTATAAGTTAGGAAATTAATGAGCCATGTATAAATCTGGAAGTTGCCGCGAGCAACAGCTTTTGTTTTAGTTTCGTCGTATTGTATTTACTCAAAAAAAATATGGAACAATCCACCACAGAACCGGCAAGATTTAAACGGCTACTTTAATGACCATTAGGCTTTTCGAGTTCGATCGATTTCACCTAATGATGAGTCATGTCTTTTTGACCGATTCATCACCAGGGAATGACAACTTTGATATTGGCGACGGACATGGCCAGACACGGTGAAATTCTCGACACACTGAAGCGTTATATAGAAGAAGGATTTGTTTTGGACAAAAAAGAACATCGTGAACAGGTGAGTACTGGTCTGTGTGTTGTAACCAACAGAGTTTTTTTCGTATCTGATTCCTGGTAGCTCAGTTTGTCGCAATCACTACCATACGATGAGGGATAATCTCTCTCTGATCCTGTAGAAAAGGGCTTTCCCATCACTGATGTTTAGCCCAAAGTTTAATTCCAAGAATGTGTACTAATCATGAGTAGCTGACCACGTTTCTGCCATTTGCGATTTGCCAAGCGTTTCTGAGCACATGTTGCTCGAAGCAATACACCAGACTTCGTATTATCCCCAGTGTGCGTCAATCAAATTGTCTGAGTTTCAATAGCCCGAATGAACCTTTCAACCACAGGTGTTTAGATAGCGCGATTATCAGGGAGTGCGTAATGGTCTGTAGTTCACCCCACTTTTGCCCACGAGATAGCCTTGTGCATTGTTCAGTGAAACCAAAGTTATTTCGATCAATGCGCTGTTGAGATAAAACGTACCAGTACAGCTTTATTCGCTGGATGCTTTGCTTCACAAATACTTACTCATTTCGTCAGTGCTTAGGGGATGCTGAAGGGGTTTCCTTGTCCAGGGGACTTCCGCAGTCACCGTGTACTTAGTTTTCGACTCAGAGTGTCCCGCCATGAAAATGGATCGGGTGCTAGGACGCTTGGATTCATCCAGTTATCGGTTTGATACGAGCGTCTGTCTAAGTGCCTTAGGAAAGTTGAACATTGTTGAACGGATCTACAGATTCAATTTCTGAACTGGGCAAGCTGGCCTGTAACCATGACAGAGTTTCTAGCATCATATACTGCTTTAGGAACATCTGACCTCCGGGATCCAATCGGCTGGCGGGTTCTGAAGAAGACTGATCTGACCAGTTGTTTGACCCTTGAGTTCATGAGCTTTTGAGCGGATATAAAAGTAAGGTAAAGTAAAGTAAAGATGATGGAGTACAGGTGCATCATTTGAGCGGTGATCAGTCTGCACTATCGGTAAATGCTGAAAGAACATTGGGTTCTGATTCAAGATTGTTTTAGCTGGGTGCTCTGAAGTCACACAAATTCGCGGTCATGAGTGATGGCACTTCAAACAAACTTGCAACATTCGCTTTCCGTGTGTGTTTATGAAAGAAGACTGGGTTCTGATTCATGACTGTTTTAGGTGGGTGCTCTGAAGTCACACGAATTCGCGGTCATGAATGATGGCACTTCAAACAAACTTGCAACATTCGCTTTCCGTGTTTTTTGCACCCTCTGTTCAATTCAAGTTTACTGTTCGGTTGGGTTTCACTAGCTCCAAGCACATCTTAATTTGCTTTCATGGGACCAATGACCAGCACAAGTCTCTCTGTTGTAGTTCGCTCTAGAAGAATATCTAGATCGTCATCGAATGTGTACTTGACGGATTATAAGCCACGATCCGTTGGGGTTTAAGTGGGAATCGTAAACAGAGAGCGAAGTCTCTTTTTTACAGACTTCGCCTGGTAGTCAGTGTGTAACCAGCTTTCGCTCTGACTCTTGCTGCTCGGACCTCTACCTCGCTAGAATTCCGCGGCCAAAAACATTGATGGAGCAACAAGGCGGTCATTTCAGTTGCAGTCTTAGATCCTCGTTTGTGAAGCACTTCAATCCCAAGTGAATCCCGAGACACCACTTTGTTTTTTGTTTCAGAGGGCGCGTATGAGAGGCCATCAAATGGTTTCGGATTGAAAATTCAATTTAGACGGATGCACAGAGGTTGTTACTGAGGATGACGCAACCCAGCTTAGTCCTGGGGATATAACCTATGGAGAGTTTCAGTGGGGGTGGGGGAATTAGAGAAATGCAACAACTGGAGTAGAGTGACGTTAACTGTAATATACGCTGCAGCATGTAAGAGGCGGGGACCGCATGGGGACACCGAGTTGTAGTCGACTTGACGTGACAAGCTACCAAAGAGTGAGTCTATTATTGCACACAGTATGGGGCAATGTAGTGGCGACTTCACTTAGCCAGCAGGGGTACTAAAGCGATAAGCCAAAACCTTGGGCTCAAAAGCTTTACCGCGAAGTTATCGGTAGATGGTGTACTACCGCAGTAAATATGAATTTAAGAAACGGGTTCCCGTAGGACAGTTGATCATCAATCTGGAGGAAGACCACCAGACTGTGTTGTTCTGACCTCTAGCCATTAACTAACCGGATATGAGGGACATTGTTGGTGTCTTGGTGACCCACTCCCCCAAACCGTCGCATCGCGATGTGGTCCACTCTCTGTCAGCCAATCAAAACTACATTCGTTAACGATTCTTAGCTCTCTTAAGTAAACACCGCCAGTAAAGCTTTTAAGTTTCTGTCCATCCTTTTTTAGTTATTAGCAGTTTCCACACCGTGATTTCTCTGCGTTTCAGCTCAAGCTAGTGCTGATCAAATGTTGTGATATTTCGAACGAAGTACGCCCGATGAATGTCAGCGAACCATGGGTCGACTGCTTGCTAGAAGAGTACTTCACACAGGTAAGCCTTAGTGCTCAGCACCAAGCAATCACGGTCTTCAAACTCACCGAGTGATTCATTTTACAGCTGGGCTGTGTTCTCATTTCAACCGGCGATCCTACGACAAACGGTCAATACATTCACCACGCCGGTATGCTGCCACCATTATTTCGACCACACTGACCGTTGCTACTGTTGACATCGTTTCAAAGTTAAGTTCGTAGATCAAACTGATCGAAAGTTTTTCCAGGGTCTCTGTTCTTGGACTTCATCGGTGGTACACTCTAGGCACTGAAAACTCGGTCTACTCTGGATTCTAACAGTGGGTTTCAGCGTCAAAATACAAGGATGCCACGCTCACGTCTAAAGTTCTAGTGGCCGAGGTAAAAAAACAAACGATGATTGCAACTGACAAGGGAAAATTACGCCCGAACTGTCACGTGTTCTGGGCGTATGGGAATCAGGGTAGAGGGAAGCGGATCGATTTCGGGAAACATGTTCATTGGAGTGCTACTTCATTTAAAACCTCTCAACTGGCTAATTCGAAGACACGGGCCTACCACTGTCGATTCCACTCTTTATTCACGTTTAAATCCTTGCTGCGCTCACCAAAAGTCTACTTTGTCTGAAGCTCTGGTAAGAATATCATTGTATGGGTAAGTAGAAACGAAATGTACTGCAATACGGAGCAATAGACAACAGTCAGAGGAACATAAGGTGTGCACTTTTGGGAATGACAATCGAATACATAGTGTCCACACTGACTACTACCCATATGCGCATTATATTTATATCAAATATATATATCATATATGTATATATATCAAATCATTCTTGTCACCTCCGATGCTTACGAGCGAAACTGTTAATTTGTCTACTTTCACACATCAATTTTACATATCTAATTGCACATATCAGTAATGTGTGAATACCGGCTTCTCAGGACAGTGATCTATTTGTCTGTGAATATGAGGAGTCTTGGTTAAAGTACTTTTCGACGTCCTTTCCAGTGTGAGTAAAGAGACGCCTTAGGTATTTGCCCTAGATAAGATATCACGTATACGATACGGCGGTCGCTTCAGAGACTTTGCGCGGATTGATGCCCAGTCTAGAAGACATCCCACGATCTGTCTTACTTTCCAGAAATGACGCATACCATTAATATGCCTTATATAGTCGAAAACCAAAGAGGCAGGAGTTTTCAGCAACCTTATGAGTAGTACATTACAAAAATATATATACAAAGAAGCTATACTTATTGTTGTTTAGCAGACAGCTATGAGTTTCACGCTCAACCAGATAGTAGCTCAAAGGTATTTTTCGACGGGGCGTACTTCAAAAAGGCCATTTCATTTCTTCGATCTTCGAGATATCGTACCAAGTCTTCTTGAAATAAGTAACAAATTCAGCTGAGAAATTTGCCGATAACGTAAGCCATTTCATTACTCGCTTGCGGTTTGTTGTTTAATTTGGATTCGAGTTCGATAGCAACCCAACCTGGTGAACCTCAATGAGGACAAAACCGATAGTTGCTTAGGCAAGAGCTTTCAGCAAACTTATTCGTAATATATCAAGCCGAAAAGTGAATCGATTTCTTACGAATGTCATCCGACTGCTTTCGTTTATAACAACCCGTCGGAAAATCCACTGGGTATTGTCACTTACCATAAAATGGAAAGAGAATCTGAGACAAAAGGTCTCCTGAGAATAAGAATTCCTTTACTGCTGAAATTTGATTAAGTTCAAGGTATGCATTCAAAGTGAAGAGGTAGTCCCTATTCGAGGGTTACCGTTCACTTCCTGTGCGTGGTTTTCCCAGCGCTTGGGAAGTGCCTATTGAAAATTTCATGGAGCCAGGTGGGTATACACGGCCGCCTGATACATCAGTTTACCGTGCTTTCAATTATCCTTGGTCTGGATTTTAATACCAGCAGTGAAGTCCCCTGTCTGGCTCTGTGGCTCCGTGTCACCCTTTAGTTTTGACCCCATTGCTAGTCAGTCTTGTTGGTTGCACGCTGATGCACGAGTTTGCTCAACAACCTAGAGAGACCAATGAGGTATGAAGTGAAGGAGCATTCTGACCAAGGAAAGTTTATGATATTAGAGAGCGTCGACTCAGTCCATGGCACCCCTAATGTGTCCGATGCAGTTAGCTTACTCATCCGCCGGGATTCTTTGAAAGGTGAGTAAATTCCACCTGTTGAATCTTGAAGCCTTGTTGATTTCCCTGGTAACGTTTAGCTACCGTCAGATGCGAGCCTGGACATTAGGCCACAGACTGCTCACATGCTTCATCAGTAGTATGAACCATTACCGGGGTATTCGACTAGCTACTGGAGTTGTGTATTCTATGTCACTCCGAGCTCTACGATGTATTGGTTTCGAGATGTCGTAACTTCAATCGGTCGAACGTGGTCAGCTCTGCAGCAAAGCCCGTTCTGGCTGCACAGGAGAACCCGCAGAGGAGGTACATCAACATGGGAACACGTCGAGAAATAACCATATGTGAACCAAATAGGCTGAGGTGAATGCTCACTGGTTCCGTTGTTAGCATCACGTTCTGTGGCCGAGTACTACTGGTTTTTGCAGAAATTTAAGGCTATAGCTTTTAGCTACCTCCTGTGTATCACTTTGGTGCTCGTAACTGTGGACGATAGGCATTCTCAGCTGTCGTCCAATGAAGTATCGCCACTCCGACCTCACACCCTGAGTTGGGTTGTTTTTCGCGCCTTTATATTTACAACATCAACTTGTGATTACATTGTACGTATTGTCTCTTATTCCACTGTGTTGTGTTGGAACTTATCTTTTCGTTTATTGATTTCATTGAAAGACAAATCGCTTGTATACATCAGCAAACGATCCGGATATTTGAACCTGCATTTGTGCAAGAAGTGACTGTCCCGGACCACGGTGGTCAATATCAAAATGTGCTCAGGCTGTGTCTTGTGAATGGTCCGAGCCACAAGGCTACCCATCACTCACACTCGGCCTGACTGGTTAACTGTTCCCACATGATATAACGGCAATAAGACATCAGTTGGCATGCTGGTGACCTTAGAATTCTCCCCTCATGTTCTTCCTCCGGTCTTATTCTCCTGGGTTGTTTATTTGATTGTACGCGCAGCATCGTTACCTATTGTTTGTATATCGGAATAAATCAATAAGATGGTCAAATCGCCCTCCCTTGTCTCTAAGGACGCTTTGCTATGACCTTGCGTAGAGGTTCGCATTTCTTTAAATGGCGCGTCCAATACATATATATTGAATTTCATCTGGAATTGATCTTCAAGACCCTACTCCCTGATGGCTGATATGTACTCTATTACCGTACATTTCCATTCACGCAGTCGGACAGGGAAAAGGAAGAGGGTCTCCCAGTTGCCCCATTCATGGATCGTGAAAAGGTCACCAAATCTTCCGCTCAGACCGGATTTCTCAAATTCGTTCTTATCCCCATGTTCCAGACGGTTGCCAAAGTAAGATACATTATTGTTGGACCTTTCCTGACGTGGGTTTCACGTGACGTTTTTGGTTGATGTTGTCAGAGACGTGCTCCTCTGTGAGTGTTCCATTTATCAAGTTAATCGATACTGTGGGAAGCTGATCGACATCGTGGATCCTGAGTCTGTTCATTTGAATTGTCTTAGTCAGAAATTTTGAACAGAACAAAAGACTTACGAATATGCACTCATTTGCAAACTAATTTGGTTTTTGGAGAGACTCACCTGGAACCCAGCTGAATCTCTCGTTTGTGATGTTCTCAGGGTGTATATTCGCAAATTTCGTGCAATTTGGTTTCAAATAGAACATAAGGTTGACGGAAACCCGGAGAATGCGCCTACCTGATGAGCCCCAAAAAGGGCGAAACCGATCGTGGGATGTCGACGGATTTTCAGCGACCTTATGAGTAGTACATCACAAAGAACAAAAGACGTTTAGTACCGAAGCAGGATCGGACATGTCATTCACCGACAACTGAAGGAGCTTGGGTATCTCGCAAAATTCTGGCTTAAAAGTAATGTCACGGAAGTGCAGTGGATTAGGTCGGTAGAGTCCATACTAGGATACTTTGTCTTTCCGGTTTCGATTCCCAGCGCACTCGACGCTCCTTACTGCGGCACAAAGAACTAATACTCACAAATATATCATGCTGGATCTGTTTTTTTAAATTGCTATTCGATCCAGCGTTGAAGCCCTTTCACGGAAAAGCCATGTGCCTTTGTTATCGAGGAAACTAAAAAACCACACGTGACAATTACACCTGGAGAACAAGATATCCTGTTCTGGTTTACTTCTGAGCAATGTTCTCCACTTTGGCCAATTTTTGCATTGTTGACAATGTCTGTGCGGTGTCCTGTTCGTCGATCTCACTTAGTTTGTCTGATATCATTGTACAGCAAGCATGCACCGTTGAAATCACATCCGTTTTTAGCTTGACAAATCAAAGTAGAAAACACCTAATCAACTCTTTGTTTCACATATGAGGGATCTGATAAATCTCGGTTGTCAACACCTGATGGCAACACACATTGGTTAAATGGGCACAGAAGATATCAAGAGAGACTAGGTGACGTGAAAAAGCCCAGCCATCATTTTCATAAAGGAAACTACTCACAAGATTGCTGAAAACTCTTTCCTCCAGTTCAACAGCCTCCACATTTTCCCTCTTCAGATATTCCCCATCATTGACGAGATTATGGTTACTCAATTGAAAGTTGCTTTGGAACGTTACGAGGAACTTCAGGCTGAGGAAGAGGGCGAACGAAAAAAGTCAAGTGCGATCATTGACGAAGCTGACTAACCGGTTCGACTACAGTCCGATGTTTTTGCTTCACTCATAACCCATTTCTACCTGTATGTACAGGTTGTACTGTTCACTGAGAGTTTGATCCATCCATCCACTTGAGTTCTATGTTTCACCTTGTCAAGTCGTTCTATTTATCCCCATTAACCAATGGGTACAGCATGGTCAGTACCCAACACACTTAAATGGTGCTCATTTTTTGTCGACACAGTTACCCCCTCAGAAACACTTCATCGCAATGTGAG